ACCGGAGGTTCTTCGCAAGAAGATTGAGTCAGAGGGCAGTGACTCGCCATAATTCAGATTAGCCACCCTCCCCCTATACCTGTACAATATACCCTAACCCTAAACCCTAAATCCATATAGGTTATCAATATGTTGTGCCAGTCATAGGGCAACCCAAAAAACCTCCTACTAAGCCCCCACCAATTGCAAAACCCTGGCCGGATAAGGCCACAGCAAAATGCACAACCTCTACCTCCAGTACCTGTCGTGCAAAGGACAATGGCGAGAGTCCACCATGGTGCTCAGAATGAGGCGACAAACCCACATGTGAGTGAGTAATATATATACCATATCGACAGTGATGCCTAGAACCCTGAAAAACCATATAATCCCAAAACCAATCCCTCAGGAGCAGCCACGAGAAGGAGTCCGAGGATGCCTACGAATGGTGGACGCTGGAGACTATGATCAAAGAACATGGAGCTGAGTTAGCCGAAGATCTCCGACAGCGGCATGAAAGCCAGGATCCCACGCACAGTGGCAAATTCGTGAAGCCACATCCGGACTTTAAGGACAACAAGGCCATGGGAATATTGGAGTGAACCCTAAATCCTAAACGCCGAAACCCCTAAACCCTCAACCCTAGAACTTAAAACCCTAAACCCTAACCTTCACCTTTCTAGCCTCCTAAAGAAACAGACCTTAATCAAGCCCCGAGACATCCCTGGATCAGGACAAATTGCTGTACAAAAATTTCGCTCACAGCCGTGATGTCAGCCGTAAGAAGGAGGAGACGTCTGCAGAAATTTCCATCACAGCGGATATTGATGGTGACGAGGCTATGGATCAGATGTTGCGAGGATACACATTAATATTGTTTTATAATTTTGGGTGTCCCCCGAACTTGTAGCATAATTTTGTTCCAGGCTTTAGGATTTAGAGTCTGGGGTTTAAGGTACTAGGGTTTATAACTTCGACTATAGAGTTGTGAATGGGACTCAGGGAGCAGCTGCTGCAGGACCAGATGGGCAAGACTCATGGTCCGGCGGGATGTAATCCAAACAAGCCAAAGGTTGAGAAAAAGCCAGCAAAGCCAAAAACGTGGACCCAGCTTGGCAACCAGGCATGTCGAGTCCAAACCTGAACCCCCAACACCAAATCTTTAGAATTATGAGCAGCCCTGAGCCTATATCCGATACACCCCTCTGATTCCGACCCTCTGTGCCTAACAGGCGAACCACAAGGCCAACGCTGAGCTCACAGACTATGAAGGCTTTGATGAGCAGATGCTTAAGGCCAAAGTGACCCTTGGCAAGCCCTATGCCCCCCAACCCCCTCTACGGCTTTAATCCTACAGATTCACCCTAAACCCTAAACCCTAAATCGCCCTAAAGCCAAGGGGAGAGAACCTTCGCCGGTCGATGATGGATGACATGTTGCCGCACTTCGAGCGCCTGTTCCATTGCAAGCAGGATGTGGCGAAAGGCTTGGGACACAAAGTCAAGGAGGAGGAGTTGAAGCCCAAAGTTGAGGCAAGGTGTTGGGTTCATTTGATTCTATATACCAGGTTTGGGGTTACTGGTTGAGAATCTAATGGTTGTGTGGGCGAAGGCTTAAAGTTGAATTAGTGCGTTTTGGGCCTATGGGTTTAGAGTGGGGTTTCACCAAAGTAGTGGGTACTTAAGGGCAAGTGGAGGGCTAGGGAACCTGGAGCCCGTAAACCTCCTAACATGGGACAAGAAGAGGCCATGTGAGCTACCAAGCTTAGGATTTATCTGGGTTGTGGGATAATTAATCATGCTGGGGGGGGTGATTGGTGACAGCTGTTATATACCTGGGGAGGCGCTCACGGAAGCCCTCGCAGATTTCAAGATTGCAGCTGAGCCTATCCGCACGAGTATCAAGAAGGGACTTGGAAGCGCGAACCCCAAGGCAAAAGGCAAGGCCAGGGCCAAAGCAAAGTCATGATGATCTGAGAGGTTCAGAAGTTGCGGGACCGCGCATAAATTTGTGTGCTATGGCACTGCTATGGTAACCACCCTGTGTATGCCCTTATGGCTGTAGCTGTACATGTGCCAGCCTTCTGATGCTATCTAAGGCTCGCCTCGTGATTTTGATGAAATGAGATGAGACTGAAGCAAGAGTCTGGGTAGGACTTTTGTGTGGTATTCCGTTCCTCAATGGAATACCAGCAGTGCTACACAGCAGGAGCTGCTCAGCGCTATGGCTGCGCAAGTGCATATTAAGTACCTAAAAGATAGCTCTGACGAATGTGTGCGTGAGCCCACTCTTGCTGTACGGCACTTGGGGTTTTGATTCCCTCCCTCTATCGGGCTAACCTGATGGAGATGATCGCATACCTGAAATCATGAGGCGCCTCGTGGATAGAATTCGGACAGCTCGAAGGGTCTATCTCGGCAAGTGTTGGGAGGGTTTAGGGCGTTGATTATATGTATAGCGTTTAGGGTAGGGTTCCGGGTATAGGGTATAGGGTTTAGGGTTCAGGGTATAGGGTATAGGGTTCAGGGTATATAGGGTTCAGGGTATAAGGTATAGGGTTCAGGGTATAGGGTTTAGGGTATAGGGTTCAGGGTATAGGGTTCTGGGTATAGGGTTTAGGGTCTAGGGTTTAGGGTATAGAGCATGGGGTATAGGGTTGAGACACGCGCATCGCACAGCAGTGTCGGCACGGCATAGGGTTTAGGGTCTAGGGCTTCAGATTTTAGAGCATAGGGATGTGCAGATAGGATCCCGGAAGCTTTGAATGTGTTCTGTTGGGGTGGGGGTTTCGGATGCTTTGTCTAGCCGGAGCCTTTGCAAATCAAGACTGTGCCCATTGTGTATATACTAGTATGCCCCCTGTCGGCGCAGGTCACAGAGGATCTGGGTGGACTGCTACGCGATCGCGATCTAGATCTAGATCTAGATCTCCCCGGGGCCGAGGTGCCGAAGTAAAGTTGTTTGGGGCTTGTTTTTCATCGACGCCTGATAAGCCCGTAAGCCCCATGGCCCAAATCCAAAACCCCCAAGCCACAGACCCCAAAACCAAAAACCCTAACCCGAAACCAGGCGTTTCTCGTTCTTCAAGGAGGTCTTCGAGATCAAGACATGGTGGCGGTGCAGGCTGCTACTCTGGGTCCAAGTTATTAGACTGTTTGTGACTACGGCTCAGTGGGCAAAGCTAAATGGTACAGCTGCACTCGACCTCTGCTTTTCTTGGGGGTCATAGTTGATTAGGGTTCGATTCTCGTTTTTTGTTATTAGTATTGGGCAGGTCCTCCATCTTTGCCTACATCCGTGGGATCCTCGCGTAATGGTCAAGGCCTTGAAAAACCTACAAAACCACCAGCTTATGTGTCTTATAGGGCAATTACAAGAAAGGAGTTACTCCATAGGGACCTTATATGAGCCCTCAATACCCCATATGTAGTTTCCCATTGGCCTTATGCCCTTATATACCCTTTATGTGACGTCCCCCCCCCCCTTCCCCCCCCACTGAAAAAGCCCTCCTATATGTTTTGGTCCTAACTATATGGGTTTAACCCGAAATCCTTTCATACAATCCCGCAACCCATTCCCTGTAGGCAGCAAGCATCGTGCAATGGATGACCCCATGCCGCTTGCCACACACATGCTACTTGGCAATGTTGATATCCAAATGAAAAGCAAATCGACTTGCCCCCAACATGGGAACTATTTGTCTTTTCCATAAAGAAAGATTTCCAACCCCCTAAGGCCCTATCCTTGAACCCTAACCGCTTAGCTCTAAGGCTATAAACCCTAATTATACAGTGATGAACAAACCATCAAAGCCTCAGCCTCGAAAGCCAGCATTGTTACACGTAAGGCTAAGATCTCTTGGTGAAGGGCGGGAATCTGCTTGGAGTGTGGCTACAGCTTCCCGTGCAGCTGCTCAGGATCTCAACCAAATTCTAGGTCAGAATCTTGAAGCCCTTTGATCCTTTAAGCCCTACTCCCCTAAGCCTCAAAGATTCTGAATCTCATGGTGCCAGGAATGTGGAGTGGAGAATGTTTCGAGGGCAACATCCCGACTGTCCAAGATACGGAAACGTGGCAATGCAAACAGAGACTTGATGAGAGTCGTGAAGCTTCCTATTGACGCTTGCAAAGGTTTAGAACAGAATTTCTTCAGGGGGTTTCAGCGTTTCATGAGGGCTTTCAATTAAGCGATATAAAGAAGAACTCGTTATATGGTGAGACTATAGGCTATGGCCTACGTGGATGCCCCTGTCAAGCATGAGACAGACCCCGAGCAACGTGTGCAAGCACGTCTCCCTTTCATGGACCCTCATGAATTGCTCGAGTATTTGGTTGCTACAGCCCGTGTAGAAATCAAATTAGATGAAATCCGGTGCCTAAGTCGCAAAATTCCCTATTGGGTTATAGATAATTATAATAATCCTAACCCTAAACCCTATCATCCCCCTACCTATCCAACTCCGGTGACCCTGGACTATAGGCGATTCTGGGAACATTTCCGTGCATTGGATGTTCCATGGGCCAAGATGCATCCAGCCAGCTCTGAAGCTGTTCCCATATCGGCTGCTTGGATTTAAAAAAAGGACCTATAGAGTATACGAATTCCCTTTATTTCCTGATTCCGGCCCTCTAATTTCCTATTTATTGCCTGATCCCAAGGTCCCCATTTGATTTCCCAAGAAGAGTATTCTCAGTCCTCCAGGTTTATGGCGACTCAGCGCAATTTACAAAGGAGGGGGACAAATTTACAGCCTTGTTGCTGGGGTTCCCCTTGCACAAGATCAAAGGTGGGCATGCCACCGCGCTTGGATATCATTCGTTTTCTTCGAAACCCTGATTTTGTGTATGTATGAACAATTATATCGCAGCCTTCCAGTAACCCACACACACACAATGCACATATGGATATAAGCTTAAAGAGGCTTAGATCAAGGGCCCAAGGAGAGCTGTATAGTATGCTAAATCTTGATAGGTGCGCCGTTCCTCAAAACGTTCATGTTTTTCGTCGTGAACTCCCGGCGATGTGCTGGGCATGTGCCTTGCGCGTGTCTGTGTGTACAATTTTTCAGCTGAAGTTTTGTAATCAATCGGCTACATTTACTGTAACATTTTTTTTGTTAACGCTTGGTCTGTCAAGCTGGCAGGAAACACTGCGCCCAATATATCACCGAACGCTTTGGTCCCTAAAGCTAGCCTTCAATGCTCGAAGACCAGCGCATGGCCCGGATGGCACTCATGAAAGCATTCCGAGGATGTACCGCAAAATGGCAAAAAAACCTTTGTCACATAGCTTCGCAGTGACGGAGTACAAAGGAGACTGGGAGTTCCACACTACCCAATGGCAACTCTCCAAATTCTGGAGATCCAACGAGCTGTGCCACATGTGTTGCGCGACAAAGGGTCCCCAATTTGCTGGCTTGAGTTTTACATTATTTGGAGCTGCGTTTCAACGAAGATCAGTTGCAAATTCGATATTGCAATGCATGGGTGCATCGCCCAATCCCCTCATTCTCCTGGATGGCTGGCACAATGTCCTGCTGCGTTTTTGCAGCATGCATACACTTGCACTCGGAGTTTATCAGACCCTTTGCGCAGAAGGGTTGCTGTGGCTCACAACGAACGGCTGTTTTGGACAAGGTGACATGGATGTCCGCCTTCGGAAGGCGTTTGAGACGTTCAAAGTTTGGATGAAGGCTTCTCGTTTGTCCTGTAGTGGCAGAGCATTCTGCACAAAACGTCTCCATGTATCAGATGTGGAATTTCCATTCCTCAGCTACAAGGCGTTCAACTGTCGGATTGTGCTAGCCTTTCTCGCCGAATCTAGGACGCATTCTTACACGTTTGGGAACGTATTCGAATCATGATTCACTTGAAAGCGAAGTATTTATATGCGTATAAGATTTGAAATTAAGGACTTCATGTGCAAAGAAGAGACTCAAGCCGTCCTGCGTGCGAACTTGTCTAACGCTGATGTGGCCCTCAATTTGATCATTTGCACTTGCATGCCCCACAGCAGCACATTCAAGATTCGTTTTTGATGAAATTTCTGGAGTAGGATCCTTTCGCGTGCTAGCTGTGCTGTGTTTTTGTTTGGGCTTTGGGGCTTGAGAATATAAATCTTACAAATTAGCGAAATATTGAGGGCTGTAAGTACACTACGAACACAATGCTGTATTCCAGGTATGAAATCAGCCAGTTCCAAAATGAGATGGAGGATGCTGGTCGTTTCTTGACGATGGAGCAAGCAGAGCGCCTCTACGACCGAGGATCAGCCCTAATGTAGCTCGCTAACTCTTCAGGGTTATTACGTTAGGAGTTGGGTTCTTGGGTTGAGGATGCACGTTGTGACGCTTTGGGCTTAAAACTTGTCACGCTACACGCGCATGCCTGGCAGGACATGTGTTTCTCTCGCTTTTTCGCGAAGCTGCCCTGGTTTTTGCGAGAAGGGGGCTGCTGCGCTGGCAGCTCCGACCAAAATTACACGCAACTAGTTTCAACGGCGCAGATTGGTTTCCCTCACTTTTTTTTTTTCTGATATTAAAGCCGGTGCCTGCATGTTCTTGCCTCAGACATGTATCGTCTGTTGTCAGGCCCTGGATGAGATGCTGTATTCCATCAGAACGGAAAGCTGCTCGGAAATGATTATGAAATTGGCGTCAGGCATGCAGGTATATCTTTAAAGCTTCAAATGCGACCCAGGACTGAACCCTTCATCGTATCACTGTTACAGCGAGGAGGACTTTCTGGGTTTGATAAAACCGTTGGCTGTGAAGAGTGCCGCCTCGACTCCGAAAAAATTCGAAGTCACTGTGCTCAAGCGTTACGTGATGAGGTGATGGGCTTCGAAAAATAGGCCATCCAACTTTCTAAGTATATCCTCACAATAATGGGTCCTGTATGAGCTATAGTCTAAACTCCTTAAAGGGGTGTATAGCAGATTATTTAGGGCTTATCTTATTACGGGCTGGGTACGAAGAGTTTAGACTATAGCTCACACGTCCCTAATGTCTTTCGTAGGCCATATACGTGTATCCTCATAGCAGGTTATTGTATACGTTCCTGGATCATTTATTGAACCCCTAAGGGTGACTGGAAGGCTGAGGTATTTTATCGGTACTAATCTGAATTGTGCTGCTCCGCCCCAACTATCCCACCTTGAAAACTGCAAAACAACATTATGCCTGAAGAAACCCTAAACCCTAAACCCTGAACCATTCCCTGGAGGCTGTTGTGTGAGAAACCTGGTGAGCTGGGAGCGCACCTTAAGAGGTGAGTCTTTACATCCCAATTACATGCGGAACCCTGTATTCAGCTTTCAGGAAACCCCTTGAAAGAATCTTCATGATCACGTATAATAATATAGAGCACATAATGCCTGGAAGCTGACAATTAATGCTAGATCCCGGAACTTGAGCTAGCGCAGCTGCGGCGTCGCGGCCTCAAAAAAATTCTCCTTATAAAGCAGGAGATCTGGTTTAGGAATAAGGGGTATAGTCCTTCGGAATTGAGGGATGAAGGATGCAAATAAGGTAGGTTTTTTGGGGTTTTAGCGGTCTAGGGTCTCGGGTTTAAGGGATCAAGGGCTTTTGGGTGGGGGCATAGGGGATGAGGGCTGTAGGCTTCTGAGACTTAAGGAGTTTTCGGTGTAAGTTTCAGGATTTTGTGCGTAGGACCTTAAGGTGAAGCGCTGTTGATTCGAAGGTAGTTGATACATTGCCCCCTAGAATACCCATAATCCAAAGGCCGAGTCCTTAATCCTATCGACGGGTATACTTTGGGCCCCCAAACCCTATTGTTAAGCTCGGCATCTGTAACTGTCGCACTAAGCTGTGTACCTGCTAACTTCCGGAGATTGAGTTATCAAGAAATAACCCTGCAAAATCTGTTGTTTCCATAGCATCCTTGTCGATGAAACAATGCCTTGTTGCGTATAATGCCACTGTCTGGTTCCCAAACAAAGCCTGGTTACCAGGAATTCTGGTCACCAAATTTGGTTACCGCAATTCTTGGGCCTTAGCCCCTGGTTACCTGCCTGGCGGGTCCTTAGGAGGCCCTGGGATATATATAATTGACCACAATGGGCAGTATCTCATATTAGTTACAATTTGAGATCACTTTGCGGGACTCTGGAATTGGCCCTGTTGATATAAACTACCACTTGCGGTGGGAGTGGGTAAGCCAAACCCAAATCCAACACTCTAAGCCCTATATGTATCCCTGGATACCCCTATATCTCCCCTACATGCGCACTAAGGGGTTTTGGAAACAGGTTTGTAGAAGGCTAATTACGAGCTACAGAGATTGTAAATCAAAAGACCCTAAACCCTAAACCCTAAGTCCCTCAAGGTCGGAAGGTCTTACTTATAGTCGGAAGTAGAGTTCGGGGATCAAGGTCTAGGGATTGGGGTTTAGGGATTAGTGACTAGTGTTAGAGATGAGGATTTAGGGATAAGGGCCGATAGAGTTTGGCAATTAGGGCTTAGACACAGAAAACCCGATATCTCCTAATCAGGGAACATATTCTAAATCGTACTAGGATCCCCAATATGATTTAAGCTATATTCCTTTGTTAAGGGGTAATGGGCCTTCTAGGTGTAAGCATACGGGCCGTATTGGGTTTAGGGGCTAAGTTCGAGGGATGTGGGTGTTTCATGAAACTAGGGGAACCATTTTGGGGTCCCCATAGTGAGGATTACCACATAATTGCGTCTATTTTGGGAGGTCCCCCATTTATAGCAGCTGCTTGCAGCCCGGTTTCAGGTGTTCAGGGCATAGGATTCAGGATTTGGGGTTGAGGGCTTATAGGGCACTTATGAGCCAATTATGACTGGTACCTATAACCCTACTTCAGACGTGTCAGCGGAATTATCTCTGAGTTATAAGCACAGGTATAATTAACTAGGCTATAATCTCCAACGCACTTTAGGGGATTTGGCATAGTTTCCGGCTGCATTTCAGATCATAATCAGAACCACCCATTACAAGAAACCCATGGGTAAGCCGATCCTGACCCTTCCTGAACCCTCACCTTTAAACGCTAGCTATCCTCCTTTACCCCTAAACCTTTAAACCCTTTACCCCTCAACCCCTAACCCCTAAACCATTAACCTCTTAACCCCTACATCCTTAAACCCCAAAACCTTTAACCTCTAAACCCCTAAACCCTAAACCCCCCCTACACCCTTAACCACCCAGCCTTGGGAGTCACTCCAGCGGAAATACCACTCGTCGCCCAGGACCTCCAGGCCGAGGTTGCTACCCAGAGCCAGGCGGTTTGGGGTTTTAGGGTGTAGGGTTTGGGGTTTAGGGTTTTAGGGTTCAGGGTTTAGGGAACTTAATTTGAGTTACTAGATTGGGGAAACCATATTAATTGCTATGAATCTTTACACATGAGGGCAGCAGCAACTCAGTATATCTATAGATATTAGGGTTTAGGGGCAGAGGGCCAAATGCTCGTAATCAAGAAATTTCGTTCCTGGGTGTTTAGAGCTTAGGGTTTAGGCTTCAGGATTTGTGGTGTAGAGTTTAGGGATATAACTTTCAACAAATACGGAATCCTAGTATCACTTGAAGTATGTACCTGAGTACCGCCCATGGAACGATTTATGAGGGTTTCCTCACAAGCAGACCTTTCAATGCTTCAAGGAATATAGAGGAATTATGGGTTTCCACCTGTAGAACTATGAAAACAAGCACTCAGCCCCTTACCATTACATCTTCCGAAATGATAGCGCGCATAGAGGTGCCCGGACAGGTCTTAAGAAAGCACTATATAAAGCCTAAACCCCATGGGGCTTAATGTGAGGGCTCAATAGATACCTGGGGATTATACAGGATCCTTCTCCGACACTCCCACCTTCGGATGTGTGATCCCCAGCACTAGTATCATTCCCTAAGGGTCCAAGGACCCAAATGATAGGATTGTAGGGCCCAAATACCATTCATATTATAGTATTTGGGCCCTAAGGCCCTATTATTTGGGTCCTTGGACCCGTAGAGATTCCTACGCACCCTATACTCGAAACCCGAAACCCAAAGACCAACACCATTAGTGCCACGGATGGACAAGCTTGACGTACCGGATGTCTACAAAACAATGGAGCATTTAGGGGTTTAGGGCTTCGGTGTTTAGAGGCCGTCCTAAGGTTCCAATACCCCCTGCTGAAAGAAATGCTGCAAACTATACAAAAAATCGTTGCCCAGAACCCAATATGCCTTAATTAGGGAATATACCCTACGTGATACTAGGATCCCTACTATGATCGGCCATTCTGGGTAGGGTCAAGGGTATACCTGAATAAAGAAGTACTAGACTCTCCGAGCTCCATTATGAAAGCCGCACGGCCAATCCAACGATAACGACGACCATAATGCTGGTGGCTTTGACAACTATCTCTAAAGGTCTAAGTGCCCAAATCTGAGGGACGTTAGGTCCCAACTACCATTCAGATGTTTGCATTGGGGACCCAAAGCCTCAACATTTGGGTACTTGGGCCCTTCAAACACCTTGTTCCAGTAGCCAAACCCAGTAACACTCACTGGCTGCACCACATTGAATCCGCGTGTGATTGCGGCAAAATCTGTACTCCTTAGGCTCCGAGGATTCATAGTATAAGGCTTTTGGGCCCAAAGACCATACTCTGTAAGGAATTTGAACTATTCTGAGCCGTTCGGTACAGGAATTGTTTCACTGCAGCCTGTGCGACTCCGAACATGAGCTGGCCCCTCAACAGCTTTCACGTCATTTGTCTACGTGGCACTTAGGACCCCTTTCCAGGGGTTAACCCTTTAGGTACCCATAATAGGAGTAATTGCAGGGGAATCCCAAAGGGTGAAGGGTCTAAGGTCCAAGCTAAGTCCCAAGGAGGCCGATGCATGGCAATGGAGCCGACTAAATGAGTATCAAACAGTCTTCCTCACATCTAGTGCAGAATTGTGGAATAACACAGCAGGGAATATAATCCTTAAACCCTATATGTGCCGTTGTCTAAACTCCTAGTATCCCCCTTAGTAAGCCGTATAGTAGTTCCCTATATAATCCCCTATATAACCCCCGTTTAAGGAGTTCAGACTACAATTCATATAACCTCAAACGCCAAAAATCTGCTCTAGGGCTCCAAGTATATAAATAGTACCGACATTGGGACCCAAAGTCTGTAAACATTACCTTGGGCCCTAAAGTCGGTAAATTCTGTAAATATCTGAACCCCAAAAGTATGTGGAATAATTGCCTTTTGGGCTAATTATGTTTAAAGGTTTTGGGCTAACTTTTGGGGGTCCAGGTAGTACCTACACTGGGCTATGTTCACTGGGCTCTTTTCATCTCACCCCTAAAACCTAAACCCTAAACCTCAAACACGGTTTCTTCCTCAGGGCCAGCCTCGACGCCCACGTGGTAGGCACCAATTCCCATGGACCGCAGCATCAAGGAATTCAGCCTGGCCTTCAAAAAAACTCAAGCAGGATAGCGTTTAGGGTTTAGGGCTTCAGGATTTTTCGGGTTTAGGGTTTAGGGCTTCAGGATTTTTCGGGTTTAGGGTTTAGGGCTTTAGGATTTTTAGGGTTTAGGGTCTACCACTTTAGGATTTTTAGGGTTTAGGGTTTAGGGCTTTAGGATTTTTAGGGTTTAGGGCTTTAGGATTTTCGGGGTTTAGGGTTTAGGGCTTTAGGATTTTTAGGGTTTAGGGTTTACGGCTTTAGGATTTTTAGGGCTTAGGGTTTAGGGTGTAGGGTGGGGGTGGGGTTTATGGGGTTTAGGGTATAATCCCCTCCCCCTAATATTTTTAACTCCCACCCCACAACATTAGCAAGTACTCTATTTGCAGTTTAACTGCCA